CCAGTATCGACGACAGTTGCTGACGCGTAATGACCGAAGCATCTGCAAGAAACTCGAGTTCCTAGGATATATTAGCAAGGCATGCGACAGACATCGGAAAGATGGAGAAACCAATGCGGCATCATCATACCGATCGGATGGTGCGGAGTGAGCGGTTGCTCATTGCGGTCATGAAGCTGCTTTGGGTAGCCATGACGAAGCAGATATTGATTAAGAAATGATAAGAGGTGTTACGGCGATGAAAAGGACGGGTGGAAGTGAGGTGGCCGCTGGAGCAGATGTCGGCTACAGGAAGGCGTAGTCAGTTATCACTAATAATATATGTTTTCAGGAACTCAAGGCCCACATGGCATTGGACCCGGGAGAGGATGGAGCCGAAACAGAGCCACAATTTCCATGTATTTTATGGGGCTTGGCAGGCTATGTTACATTGCCATGCCTACAGAATGCTACTAGGTAAACTTGGATGTTTCCATCAATAATAATACAGAATCATTGATTGAGTATGCAATCTTATATAAAAATTGCTAAAGGATTTGAGTGACTATACTTCTGGGTAAAAGATTCTGTATTCTGGATCTATTCCACGCCCTAAATTTCATTGTTCATGCTCGATTTACTGGCTAATGCTGGCGTAGTACACGTGTTATGCTGATGACATACCGTAAGAGAACGTCTCTCTTATGGGACTGGTGGGATTAATTCTCAAATGGGAGTACCTTGCTAAAGGATACAGAAATTGTACCTAGTATATCAACCTTCAAAACATCCAGATAATGCAAATAGTATAGTTACTGTAGAGACAAATTAATCCCCTCCTTCCCTAAGACAAGGATGGATATCTTGTTGCCTAATCCGCTTTGCTCCATAAAGGTAGAGACAGGTTGTTCCAAAACGTTTCAAATGCATGCTAGGTCAATTGCAAAGTCAGGGTAACTGCCCCAGTTCTCCTTTACATCATGCGGAATTTGACTGCGTAGAGCGAGGATAAGTGGTTGCTGGGACTGACACCTGGCCAAAGCTGACAAGAAATTGCAGTCATTATTATAACCATAAGGCATGAATTCATAACAGAGTTACGAACCGACGATCATCTATCTGTATCCTGGGGTTGTGGCTGGACGGTCCGCATTTACCGTTGACTTCGATTGCCCCACCATCACTGATCTACCGTAGTACTGCTTCGCACTTGGAGATGCAAACGAGGGATCATCGATATTGCTCTTGAATCAATCCATGGTTAGATACTGACATAGCACAGGGAGTGATATGTCTTCAAGATGGGCAACCCTTTGCGCGGTATATCAAGAGCACAAACTCCGCTTCTCCGCATCCGACAATAAAATACACTCGAATGAGAAGCCTACATCGCCTCGTATGACCTCTGATTAGAGTGTTCACAAGGCTCCTGAGGCGATGCAACGACAAAAGCCCAGACAATATCGAGTATTTTCTTGAATACGGAGTCTCTGATAGTAACTCTGGGCGCATGCCTCAGGCGAGTTCAACCGTCAGATTGAGGCTAAGCTTCTCACTGAGTGTTCGCCTCAAGCCGAAGCGAGGTTTTATATTAAGTTGAGGTAAAATCTGGAATACGAGTATGGATTTGCATTAAGGAGGATGAGTCCTTATCTATAGCGGTGAGCTATCCATTACTGAGTGGATAGAGCTGTATCGCGAAGAGGAAGCACCAGGACAGGTTATACTACGACGAGTGAAATTTCCGAAGATGCTGAAAATGCTCGGGTCTAATTGGCGAAACCATTCGGCGTTCGAACTATGGGCCAGCTGGCTGAGGAGATTGAAAGTCACTGTGTGTTTACCAGAAGCATGCGCAAGACCTCAAGGATGCCATGATCGCAAAGCCATCTCGCAACATACATAGGCCCGATGAGATTGTAGAATTTATATCGATTCGAACCTCAAGAAGCGAGCATCACCGTCCTCTAGCATGGAAGAATGATTCAAAGACACGCCTCTTCTGGAGGATGCTGTGGGAAACAATGCGGACGCTGTGAGATGCCTCTGGGGGCCGGTATTGAAGCGTCAATCCAGGACAGCGCCACCAGAATCCGCGAACACTCTACTGAAGGGGGTCTGTTATAACTTGGCTCGAGGATCTTTTCAGATCATCTTCCAAATATTGATATTAGGGTATCTGACAAGCAGATGAGGTATGTGTTCTAGCCAAACGAGGAGAGCCATCTGAGACAGATCAAACAAAAATAAGCAAGCCAGATTGAGGGAACACAAGTTTCAGCAGCCTCACCTGAAGCCATGTGTGATGGAGTGCTGGTGATGGGAAACAAGATGAAGAGGGAGAAGTAGCCCCGGGAAAAGAAGAGGAAAACACCATGTTCACGTCTGTACCAGGAGTCCTTTAGCTGCTTTGATCGAGCTAACTAGGACATGCACGAGACAAGGAACTGAGACACGCTTAAGGGGGGCTGTGGCTATGGCAGTCAATTAACTTACGATGAAGATTTTTTCTGTAACTTGATATTCTTCTAGCCTGGAATTTGTTAGCCAATATGTGTGCTAGTAAACAATGGCCGCCCTTATTGTTCTGCGGATACAAAGATATGTCCTTTACCATGAATATAACAGACTCTTCAGCTACTGGATCCATATATATATATATATAGGAAATTTCGGTTTCTATCTACCTAATGATTTATTTTGATCTCCTTCAGAGAATAACAGCCACTTTGTAAGAATGTGATGGTCTCTCTCACCTGTTCGTCTACCCCACTTCATTCCCCTCCCCTCGCCCAGACTGCCCGCAGTCTCAGCTAGAATCGCTCTTGTCATGGCACAGAGTCTCCCACTATTAAGATTGCTGCAATGAAGGACGAGTGGCCCAATGACAGGAAGATATAGATTGCACATGCCGGAAAGCTAAAGATGGACTAACCTGGTCGAATTTGATCTTCTGCAGGTCCTATCACAGCTCTCCCCACCTAATTCCTGTAAGCGCCGACAGCCCTGCAACAATCCAACCAGAACAAGGAGATGTCAGGATGGCAGATGCTCAGCGGCTACCGATGCCACAGCTGCGTGCTCATATATCTCGCCAGTCTGCGCAGTTGATCTTTTGAATGAAAATATAGCTGTCAACCAGGTTGCATGGTCCTTGAAAGAAGTCCCTCACTCAAGCTAAGCTAAAACGGCGACAGATTGAGTTTGGGAACGAGTGAAGAATACGAGGATATCCCATTTTGATTGTGCGCGGTTTCCTTTAAATCTCTTCTCATTCCATTTGTTGTCTCGACTGCATCCGTCAGAAAACTAATGAAGAAGAGGAGAACAGGAAACCATGGCAAGTTCATACCCGCCTCCTCCGACTAAAGACGGCCATTATCCTCGTAAGTACTACTCCAAAGTTGAACTAGACTAATATGCTAATCCTCTCTGTGATTAAGCGCCTCCAAACTCCGGAGGTATGATGACAAACTGTTTCTTGCATTGGGAATATAGTCTCATTGATACTTCATATAGCTTTTCCACCACCTCCCCAGCCGTCACCAGGATTCCCACCTCAGAACTTCAGCTACCCTCCTCCACCGAAGCAACCAACTTCTGCAAGTCCCCCACCGGGAGAAGCACATGCGGCCGCATATGCGGCCAATCCATATGGACAGAGCTCTGTATCGCCTCCCMCGCAGCCGCAGAGCCACCAGGCGACTCCATCTCAATCTTCGAACAGGGCTGTGCAAGCCCAGGGGACACCCGTCGGGCCGTCTCAGTTCAACCAGTTCGCGAACCCAACTGCCCAGGACGATGTTGGGACATTCAATGGCGGAAGCTACAGGATCAGCCACCGGGACACAAATTCCCTTCTGACGCTGCAGCTGGCGGTAGGATGTCCGATTGAAGCCAAGCCAGGTAAGTGCTATTTCTCCAGAACGTGAAAAGCCAGCGACACTCATGATACGGTCAGGAGTAATGATCGCAATGTCGCACTCGATCACGCTAAGAGGAACCGTCAAATTCTCCCTGAAGAAGATGATTGCCGGGGGCGAGATGTCATTGTCTACATACACCGGCCCCGGCGAGCTTCTGCTTGCGCCCCCGGCACTAGGTGATATCATTGTGCTGCGMTTATCCGGCTCGGATCCGTGGAAGGTCGGAAAAGACGCCTTCCTGGCCGCGACTAGCGGCATCTCCAAGGACTACCAAGCGCAAGGGTTGTCGAAGGGCGTCTTTTCCGGAGAGGGATTGTTCGTGTATAAGCTGACTGGTATCGGCCTCGTGTGGCTCCAGAGCTTTGGCGCTATCATCAAGAAGGATGTAAGCAACTCTTCCTCTCGCTCCTTAGAACCCACTCTTGCACCATGCACTATCTGGAGATTCTCTTGACTCACTGACGATGAAACTATCCAGATCGCCGACGGCGAATCCTACTACGTGGATAACGGACACCTCGTCGCCTGGAACTGCAAGTACAAGATGGAGCGTGTCGCTTCAGGAGGTATCATTTCCAATTTCAGCTCTGGCGAAGGCCTGGCATGCCGCTTCACCGGTCCTGGAACCGTGTACCTGCAGACGAGGAACGTCTCTGCCTTTGCCGCTTACATCGGAGCACATACTGCCAGTAACTAGAGTATGGCGCTTGATGGATGGACAGGAGCAGGAGCTTCTACACTCTCATTTTCTGTAAATCCTCACGTTTAGCGTTGTGATCCCTTGAGCAGATGCTGTTTTGTCTTGATTCATCTGGCATTTTTTTTTATCTCATTGTCGGATTACGGATAGCCCTTACAGAATGAGAATAAAGTAGTTCCAGAACACACGGACGTTATTTCTGGTCTTCACGTCGTCTCTATTTTTCCAAATCCTGCATAACTCAAGAGATCACATTTTCGATCCTTTTGCATCATCATCCACATAGAAGAGGAACGTTTATACGAAAATGGGGGAAATAAACAGGAAAAAAAATAAAGAAAAGTATCTTCCCACAGCTGGCTCCATATAGATCCCCCACCCAGCCATAACATCGTTTAGCCTTGTCTCTTTCTGCGGCCGACCTGTCCACGGAAACCGGTCTTGATGGCGGCGACCGACCGACGAGAACCGCAGGAGTTGCAGGTAACGAAGTACAGACGGTTTTCACCCTTGTTGAGTTCGGTGTCGGGGCTGCGGCAGGTTTTGCAGGTAACATATTCGACTGGAGGTTGTCAGCTACTGTATTCAGTTACGAGAGGGGCGAAAAGTAACATACCGATATATCTTCTCAAGACGTTCTCAATCTGCTTCTGCTGGAAACGACCCTTGATGACCAGACGCCTGCTACCGTCGACACTGCCGCTGGTACCCAATTCGGCGAACAAGAACTGCATGACGTGGTCGTCCGAACGCTTCATACGCTTGCAGATATCGGCGATGTTTGCGAAGATGGTACGACGGTTACCTTCACGCAGACACTGAGGAGGAGGAATCTTATACGACTTGGTGCCGCTGGACAGCAGGTCGGGGTGGTGGCTCTGGATGAGGGAGAAGAATCGGGAGACGAGGAGCGAGTACGGGATGGCCTGGGTCGCGTCGTGGGCCCAGATACCAGTGCCGGCTTCGAGATCGCCCTCGGGCAACTCGCCCTCCTTCTCCTCGGCAGCAGCCTTCTCTGAGATACCGGCTTCGGCGAGCTTGGCCTCGAAGTCACCCGCGTCGACCTTCTTGACCTTCTTCTTCTTCTTTTTCAGGGCGGTGGGATCGAATTCGCCGTCGGCGGCGGCAGGGGCCTCGTCACCTTCACCAGCCTCAGAGTCCTTGGGCTTCTTCGTCTTCTTCTTTTTCGAGAGACCCTTGAAGAGTTCAGTTACTTCATCGACTGCCGTGTCTGCTGTGCCTGCGAAAGTCAGTTTCGCCTGCGACCGCGGGTTTGAGCAAAAGGTGGAAGCATACCAGCTTCATTCTCAGCCGTGGTGATTTGAGCAGCGGGAGCCTCTGTGATTTCGCCGTTTGTGTCCATGATGACTGCACCTTCACTGAAGGCAACGGATTTGCGCTGCTTTTGAGGAGTGGGCTCGACCTGCTAATGGACCCGATGACAGGTTAGCAAGGTGAAAATAAATTAACAGAGACAATATCCCTCAGAAAACAGAGTCTAGTGATTGTTTCCTGCCTAACACAGCTGAACGTTCTAAGTGAAGGTGAGGCGACAACGTAAGTGTGACTAGGCCGATGGGGGGCAATGAAATGTGAAGATGTCCGCATTAAAGAAAATGTGGGAGGGCAGAATCGGTAAAGGGAAAACAGGGTGTGACGTACAGCATCCGCCATATTGTATATGTCTCTCTTGCAGCAGTAGACACTTCCAAGTATGATAACAGTCAGGAAGAATGTTATCTAGCAGTAAAGACTATGCTTATAAGTAGCCTGACGAGAGGTTGATATATTGGTAGAGCCATATCTTTGAGTTCGCGATGGCAATTCTGTTATCGCGGTACAGGCTCACGTGACTGTGAGTCAAATTGCTGTGCTCTCGTATTACCGTAAGATATACACGTGACTTGGGTCCCCTGGGTTACATCAGGCCTGTCTCTAGATGCCTCGCCAGTATTGGGGTTCCGATCTTGAATAGTTCTATCGGTCGGCAACACTTCATGCTGCAATCCTTGTTCAGGCAGTAGGCAGGCCGCTGCTTGATCTCATTATCGGTGTTTTACTTCGCTCATTGACCTCTCGCGTTTCTCCAACCTAAGTCAATCTCACCATGTCGTACTCCTCGCCCTCCGCCTCTAACCCGTCCCTCGCTACGTCTGCCTACATGGTGTCTTCGGTAGACAGGTACACATCCGGCTCAGACGATGAGATTGCGTCCCTTCCATCTGAGTCTACCACCGCTTCAGATCTAGACACACTTTCAGACGACTACTCGGATGCCGAGGAGGAATGGAGAGAAAGCATTGAGCAGTTGGAGTTACTATTGACCATGGTCATCGTTCCCTTTATCGGAAAGTATCTGGGACGGAGATGCGCTTATTGGGGTATGCCCGTTGATTTCCGCAGCTCGCAAAACAGGACTGATATGAGTGATGTAGGCTGGACTCGCTTTATGGAATGGAAATACCCAGTCGAAGTCGTCATGACCAACAAGGCAGCCTTCAGGGGAGCCGGTGTCATTGAGGCTTTATCCCCACTGTGAGCGTCTTGACAAAGGCAAGTCATCATCACAATTCGATCTGCAGTTGCGGCCGTACCATGCATCGAGGCGCAATGTCGTGATACCCTCGGTCCTCGGGGAGCTCCGCGAAGAGCAGCAGCAGCTTCCATCTCTGGGAGGTTCTCCCATCACCCTGCGATGGCTGCTCTTTGCATTCAAAAACGAGAAAGCTTTACCTCGCGGCGTAGGAAGAATTAGCGATCTTGTCCGATAAGCTGCTTCTGGACCTGGGTACAGTACTTATGTAAATATAGTTAGAGGCACACTACCAAGTTTCCTTTTATACCCAATCAGACCATTTACCTATTTGACCAACTCGCGAGGTTCAGAGAGTGGAGCATTGTCCGGTGGTCGTACGGACGCTCCTGTAGGTTGCTAACTGTCAGACAAACCGCCAAATGGTCGAATATACATATGACCGCTTCGATCAAGAATGGAACACGGTCAATACGTCAATGAGGTCTAAGGGGAGTGCTTTGAGTATTGAATTTTTAGTCTATAAGGAATCTTAGAAGAAAAACGACGGAAAAAGTATGTCGCCATGCAATGGCCGTCAACCAATCTTAATTATCTCGATAGGCGAGATGAAGCGAAACTGAGAGACAAGCAAAAAGCACTAATAAATTCCATCATCATGAACTTGTGCGTCATTCCACGCTCAAGAAATGCGATAAAGAGCCCGGCATGATCATTTTCATAATCGTATCTCATAACTTATCTGGCGGAAAAGGTACGGAGAGAAACGAGCTAGGTATTTTCGACTGAGGCATTTAAGCAGTGGGTTGCCCGTTACTCGAGGGACGCCAGCCTGGAGGGAGATTAGTGATTATTCGGAAGGGAAGCAATCGGTTCTACTCACTGCCACCGCCGTAACCCTGGCCACCTCCATAACGTTGGCCACCTGTAAGACTTGTCAGGATAGAGCTTCGTTGAACAAGTTGATTTGAGCACATACCGTTTCCGGGAGCACCCTCGGACTGGTTGTAGCCACCACGGCCGTGGAAGCCACCGTTGTTACGGGGAGCGCGCTCGGAGGCCTTGTCAACACGAATGGTGCGTCCATCGAACCTATATCCGTAATTTTTTAGTGCGTCTGCGATGAGAGATACGGGCTCAATAGAGTATAAATTGGACACTCTGGTACAATCTAGGGCCTCAAGAGGTTTGGGAAAGCTTACTCCTGGTTGTTCATAGCGTCCATGGCAGCATCAGCCTCGGTCTCGTTGCTGAAACGGACGAAACCGAAACCACGGCTGCGGTTGGTGTCACGATCCTTGACAACAACCTGCGTGGCGTGAAAAGGTCATTAGTATGGCATGGTAAAGCAGTAAAAATAAAAAATATGATGTGAAAGTGAACAATAAGAAGGAAATGGTACTACTAACAGCATCTTCAACCTGGCCGTACGGCGAGAAACCTTGACGAAGGGCGTCGTCAGTGGTGTGCCATGCGAGGCCGCTATTAAACCGTTACTTGAGAAAATGCGTTGAAGATTTGATGTAAAATGAGAACACACCCGATGAAAAGCTTAGACATATCGAAGGTTGAATGGAACTGTTTAGTTGATTAGTACTGAGATAGAGTATCAGTTTCCCTAAGATGAAGGCGATCGAAATAGGTGGATGAAAAAGAAGAAGAGGAGGGAAGAATTCGGGAGCAGAAAATTTCTCCCCTTTCTGAAAGAATTTTTTTCACAGGTAATCTCACTGCGGCTATGCCTGAGGATGTCGCTGATCTGTGAAACAAACAGAACATTCAGCAAGACAAGGAACACTCACAGTAAAAACTTTTTGTTGCTGAAAGACGACAAGTGTCAATATCACAAATGATTTAGATGAGAGGAAAGGTGTTCTCACTGTTTGATAAGACAAGAAGAGCAGTGGATTAGCCGTGCAGAACCTGCAAAGTGGGAGAATGAAAGGGAGGACTGGAGGAGGTGTAGCAAAGACGCAAAGCGGGGGTTACTGATTACTACTCCTACAAGCTACTATGGTACTCGGCAAAATTATTATTATTTTTGCATAGCAATTATAAATTGATAAGCGGGAGCCATTATATTACTATTATTCTATTAATGCATGACAAGCGCACAAAGGGAACAGCCTAAGGACGCTAGAGTATGGTCACCACTGACCTGAGAGCTGATGCGCACCTCCGTACCCCTCATTGGGAAGTCAGCAGCCCATCTGCAGCCTATGCGCAGTAGCAGGTGGGAACTGGAAAGGCTGGAGCAAGCAGAAGCCTGAATCTTACTCCAGATAGTCAAGAAAGCCGTGCTTGAAAGAGTCGGTGACTCGAACGGGGTTCTGGGGATAGGAAAGTTTTGATTTTAGAAGATACTTTTAGTCCCTCATTTGTCGTACCACGGGTGGTATTTCACCCTGTACCTCGCATATCAACTACATTAGTCGGAGTTTGTCCATCCCTGTCTATGTACACTTCTGCAGAAGGTAGTATCTCCTAGTATTGTGTTGTTTCTCATCCCAGAACGTGATGCTGTATGGTACAGTATGGTGTAGTCCATCCCGTATCTTAAGGCACAGTGAATTGCTTGTTGAATTGGGGAAATCTTTGAAATCAGTGAAACTTTGTCCCACCGTCGGGAAAGAGGTAAAAAAAAAAAAAAAAAAAAGAGACAAATCCAAAAAAGAAAAGGTAAAAACAAAAAAGGGAAAAAGGGATGGGGGAGGGTGAAAGGGGCCGGAAAAAATTTCGACAAGATCTCCATTGCTTGATTGTTTTACTGAAAAGCTATGCCTAGTCTAAACTGTGTAAGTCTAGCAATGATGAGCACGCAAGATTGTCAGTCACATCTCACATCGCACAATCACCGTGAGCCGATAGATGGTTGTCTTGGTTGGCCAGCTTGCAGTTGACACGGATGCCAAGAAGAGCCAGACGCTCCTACTAGAGCAAGTATTTGATAATTTAACTGCTCCCTTTGCCCCCTCCTCAACGCTAGTATTGAAACTGATCTCCGATCCGACCACTTTATATCACTTACATAGGAAGAGCCAAACAACGAAAGTTTGGAGAGGAGGGGCAGAATTGATAATGGTGGAGAATTGATCCACATGTGGGCGTTATCAACTTATCTAGACTCATGCCTTGATAGGAAGTATAAGCGAGATGCTTAGAACCCACCTAAGCTGTACTCCGTAGATAGATTAGCTTTATCAGACTATGTGCCTCTCGAGATGCATAAGAAAAGTATCATGTCCTTGTCTGAATCTCAATCTGATGATGTTGATATGTTGATATTCTTTGCCATGATTGAAGCTCACAGTTGCTTTTTTGATACCTGGATCGCCCAACACAGCTGGCGAGGAAGCTGCTGCCTGAGTCACGATTTCCCGTTATGGAACTGATGCATTTGGCAATAATCCACCACAGATGGTGTCAACTCCAGAAAGAAAGGCTTGCCAGCCGACATGATCCTACTGGCAACAAGCTCAGCGCAACGAGCGGCCTCAATCCGAGCACAGCTGTATCTATGCAGCAATCCTCGCGAAGACATGGTCACCTGGCACCAGACGCCCAGGGATTGATTCTCAAATGGCTTCTTGAACGGGAGAACTCGCCGACGACTTATACAAACAATCATGCCTCGGGTCCTAGAGAAGGTGAATTTTTATCCACCATCCMCAGATGTGGTTCTCTAGGGGCCTTTTTTCGCTGACGGGTTCTGTTTATCATTGAACAAGCGACTCGAAGGAAGAGCCAGATATGCCACAGCATTGGGCTTCCTATCATGCATTCTGTATCAACTCCTCCGAGAGACGCCCTACGCGAAGGAAGCTCTTTCGCTCATCGTTCCCCTCCCGTGAACCGTATCAGATGGTCGCCTTATCCTGAAAGGCATCCTACTGAAATAAGGACAATTCCCCAAAAGGGAAGCAAAGGTGGATACGAACGCAAACCACGAAATAAGACCAAGGAAGATCGTTACGAGTACAAGGGCTCAACCTCTCGAATACAACAGAAGCAATCGCCGATAAAAGCGAAAAAGTCATCAAAGCAACTTAGAAGACGTACGATCAATGACAATTTCCATGCTTCCAATGTCCCACGAGATCGATTGACTGTATGCATTGTATTTCAGTAACCAAGGCTGCCAATGCTGACGATTAGAACAGCTCCATTCGCACCTAGGGTTGGGTATTTTCAGAAGAGGGAAAACCTCATCACCAGTGAAAGTCGGCGAGCTTCGACATTTCCCCCACTTTTCCGGCATTCGCAAGCTGGTAAATCGAGGTCGAGTGCCTGAGAAGGAGTTCTCAGAGACAAGGTTCTTGAGCAGAAATCCACGGAGCAATAGCGAAAAATGCACAAGCCATCAGAGTCCGAACAAAAGGATGGAGACCCGAACAAATCCCAAGGATTCTCAACCGCTCATTTCGAGCTACTTCCCACTTGGCTCCCTCGAAGATGAGCCTCGCATGCAGGGTTTCGAGATGGAGGCAAGCGGTACCTCGTTGCATTCATCTTCAAACTTACAGCCACAATCCCCAGCAGACTGCAGCCTGCGCAACGCAGCAGCGAAGAGGCATGCCGCTGTTGCCGTTCAATCTCCAGCTGATCAGCGTAAGCACTCCGGGGTGTACCATCTTGATGTCCAAGGGTGCGAAGCCTCTCTGTCATCAACTATCAGTATCTCATGCAACGAACATGCCGCATTCTGGTCTGAGAGCTGGTCAGAGTTTTACATGAGAGAGCTTCTGCATTTTGATTTCAGCTCACAAGACAAGGACAAAGATGAGTCTACCCATTCAGGCAGAGAGTACTGGAGCTTGGAGGACCTGAAGCTCCTGTTACAGGAGCGAGAGAATTTGTGGCAACAAGAGACGGGAGCCCAAGTTGTGTCAGAGAGTTCACTCTCAGGTAGCAGACGCAACAGTCGCAAAGCCAGCTCTATCTATGAAGTGGAGGACGCTGATGAATATCATTTAAAGGAACGCAAACAAATGGTGCTAATGGAAAAGATGGGAAATAGTTTCGTTGAGGATAACGCAAGCCTTGATACGAAATTCATCTTTCCAGGGCATCTTGATAAGGGTCTCGACAACGAGCCAGATTTTCAGCACACATTTAATACACCTCTAGCAAGACGCAAGCTGACGACGCTGCGTAATACGAGCAACGCTGGCGCAAAATTTGACTCCTGCTCTGATACGTGGAAATGCCCCGAGCATCCTACCAAAGCCCAAGATGAGCGCTTCTCCTCGGTTTTTCAAGCCAGACCGTTTGAACAAAAGGCCGAGCTCCAGCTCGCTTCAGGAGCAGGAAGGGATAAAGTTGATGACCACGTGGTCATGTTCTTTGCTGAGGAACCTCAATTTCACGATAATATCGATGATTACTTTGCTACACAGGCGCTCGATGCGGCAGCAATTGACGCGATCGTGGATCCAGAGGAAGATACATTGGAATGCGTGTGGGACTATGCAATGCGGGCTCCTCGGGGTGCTGACAATTTCGAAAACTACACAGCCTCTCAAGGTGGCCTTCCAAGTCGAGTCCTGACGGATAGAGCATCACTACATTGTCCATGGGACGCTGCACCATATCCGTCGCATGGCGTTCTATCCTCACATGAAACGATGGAGCGGGCATCTGATGTCCGGGCCGTGAGGCGATGCGGCATGGAACAAGGATTAATTGATATTCCCAGGGATTTTTGGCGGCAGAATAGGTTATATTGATTGTCGTTTGGTACCGCTTCACATCAGCTTGCTTGGTAGAAACGATTGTTGGTACTGATCGGTGACTGTTAGTGAGCATCATCGCTGATTTTGATATATATTAGTAATACTGTATGTTATGATAGCTTTTTCATTCTGTTATGCTTCCGAATCTTGTTCCTTTTCTTCTTCTCCTTCCCCTCCTTCTTCTTCCCTACTAGCGATTCTATGACAGGGATATTCATGCGGGAGACGACCCAAATCCCAACCGAAACTGGTCGAGTGTAGGCTCCAACAGAGCTTCAGTAAGGCTATGGGCCGTTGCTAGCCTTGACATCACATCTATAGGCACCGCAATATGTGTGACGCACCTTTCCACCTCGTGGTGTACCTAACCTCCCAGCCTGTTCGGCTGGATCTCACCAAGCAGATGGGGAGAGTCCCAGGTACCGACTGTCGTTGATCCTCACGCATTATTGACCATTTTCGTTACTGGTTTCGATCTGTGTAATGAAGCCACTAAGTAGGTCAGATTCGATCATTGACAGAAATACTTTGTCTGAGTGAGGCGTACTACAAGTCAGAGAGTACTGAATACTTGAGTCATTTGCAGATTCCCGACCTAGATTTTGGGTCAGTTGTCCCGTCTTTCCACGGGCTTAATATAGTCAACTCTATTGGATAAAGCGGATTATTGTGACAATCTAAGCGAGGAGAGCCAGAAGTTCTGGACTGGTTTTGGACCCAAAGGGTGCATCTGGTTTGGATGGGAAATCCTTTGCTTTCGTAGGGCATCAATGGCCCTGTCAAGGTGGGTAAGAGACACTCTGAAAACTATAGCCTGAGCACCGTGTTCGCATCTAGAGCATGCCTACCCGCCTTTCATTCTTGGGAGTATCTATCATCAAGCCAATGGGTATATCGATGTCTATACCGATTTGGTACATGATTATTCGGTCGTTCAGCTGGAGGTATGATGAATAGGACATAGTGAGCAGGCATTGAGTACGGCGAGTGATTATATTCTCTCCATTGAGAATATAATCACTTTGAAGGAGGGATGGAACTGCCATGTACATGTATATGTGCAATGCATACCGTCTATTCTATCTAATCATCATGTATAGCCATCATCTGTACATAAGCCTGCACACTATTCGATCGTCGAGGGCTGCCTATGCGCCTCCGCCCAAGACGCTTCGAGGGATTGCTTCACATCTCTTTCCGCAGCCGCCTCTTCGGCTGTCGATTCCTCAGTGCTCTCAATCGCCTTGACGCGTCGCACCAGATCAGTGACATGCATATCGGCACTGCCGAGTCCTAGCCCCTCCAGCGCTTTCTCAAGCAGGTACAGATACTCGGTGTTCTTCCCACTCTGACCCCGCCCGCGGCTAATCACCTCCGCAACATCCTGCGGTTCGCGGCGAGCTGGGTCGCGCAGGAATTGCGGATTGGTAGGCTGCCCAATATACACCATGCAGGTGATTGGTGCGGCGTGCGCCTGCGATGGCGACTGCGTCTGTGGCGCCGCCTCCGTCTCGGGAACTTTGGAGACGGTGGATGCGGAGACGGCAGATATGGGATGAAAGGGAGTGTAGTGGACGGTGTAGCCGTCTATTTCCCGGTCGTCGAGGTAGTCGTGGACTTCCTCGGCATAGGAGGCGGGGATGTGGTATGCTGCGCCCCAGACGCGGGCTGTTGAGGATTCAAGATGTGCGTGCTGTTCGGTCAGAGGCAGATTTCAGGTAAGCCGTGAGTAAGCGACTTACCGGGTCATCTAGGGTTTCCCAGAACCCCCGTTCTATGACTGTTACCACCCGACCTGGGGCTTCTGGGGTGCCGCGATGGTCGGTGCTATGATTGATCAGCGATATCTTGGCAATAGCCGAATTTCGGGAGTGTGTACCTGGCCTAGGGAATGTCAGAGACGACTAGAGAACGGGTGCATCTGGTGAAGTACGAACCTGCCAGAAGCGTCGGACATAGCCATCGATATAGCCTGGGATTCGTTGGTCTGTACCAGAATTAGATGCAGAGGCCAAATTATGGTTTGACAGATGATACACACCATAGTGTGGTGGTGGTTTCCAAATTAGACTCCTTTACGACGAGTCAGCTTTAAAAGGTCAACGAAGACACGCACTTGGATTGGACTGGCAAGGAGCATGACTTACCCATAGCCAAATACCCAAAGGTCGCCGTCGGGAAAGTAGTTGCGCCATGTTCGGCCCGCTGGTGGACTTTGAGTCGTTTCTGGAGCGGTCATATCTGCTGGCCTCCTTGCCAGAGCAGCCCGAGCGATGTCCAAGACTCTTCTATAGATGAACTTCGGTAAAAAGGATGATACCTAGACCGATGACCCCTGCCTCTGATCACACACGGCACAGAAGTCCTGGCAAGCGATCAAACCGTATTTAAGGCAATTTATCTTCTCTGATGATCTCAGTAACGTACCAAGTAGTCCAAAAAAAAGAGGGTATGTTGGACTAAGATGTCGATAGAATGGCGACAGTTTAATGCCAGATTATACAAGACGCGCTCAGTGTTTGCAGTGTTTGTTTCCTCTCGCTCTACAGTTCGGAGTCAATAATATTCAACCAGAAGTGCTCCATATAGAACTGCTCTCGGAGAGATTACCGGACTATCCAAGGAGCGCTTTTGCATCTCTCCGAGGCCATTCTTTGTGTACACTGCTAGTGGTATGCCGGCCCCGAATTGAATGGAAATCACGTTTATGGCAGAAACGGATCCAACAGCTCTTGACACATCTCTCGCCACATCATTTATCGATTCGACATCACACCCCTCAATCCGCAGCGGTTCCTCCTGCTAGCCATATTATCTCAAGGTACTCAGGAAGAAGTGACGGACTAACGCGTAGGATATCTCGCAACTTTCTAAGTGGGCTGCCCAGACGCCACGGCAAGCCTAAGCAATGGACTAATTACTGGCTTCTCCTGTCTTATACGCAGACTTAGGAAGGTACAGACTGAGATATCTCTTATACCAGGTAAGTATAGAATGCTACAATAATTGAATTGGCCTTTTTCTTCGTCAAATTTTGGTTGAAATTCTCCCTTCCAGCTCCCCATGACAAGTTTGAACGTTCAACTGATAATATAGCTCTTATCTACCCGAAAATCTTCTCGCTGAAGCGCCTTTGTTCTCAGCAGTTTGCCGAGGTTTACCTGCTGTATAAGGTCATGTAGCTCAATGTTGCTCTTCTATCTCAGACCAGTATATCATTTTCATACGCCAACATCAGCAACATACTCCTGTTTTATTACAGTCTCAGTGATCATTGCGGCTTGCCTTTCTTCGCTTTCTGCAAATGCCGTCCCCCGAAAGCTCGGCCGAAATCTCCTTTGCAGGCAGAACAGTGGTCCTGACTGGGGCAACCTCTGGGCTCGGGTTCGAGGCTGCCATCAAACTGCTCAATCTTGGTGTGGACTTTCTTATTATTGGCAGTCGCAACCTGCAGCGAGGACAAGCGACTAAGGCTGAGCTGGAGCTGCGCACCAACAGACAGGGGGTAATCCATGTCTGGGAATTGGACATGAGCAGTTTCCAAAGCGTCAAGGATTTCGCAGCTCGCGTCAACAGAGAGGTCGAACGGCTGGACGTTGTATTGCTCAATGCGGGATTGTGGAATCGAAGTTACACGGCGTCTCCTGATGGATGGGAGGAGACGCTGCAGGTCAACACACTGTCCACTTCGTTGCTGGCAATTCTGCTTCTTCCTAAACTCCGGAGTAGCTCGTCGCCTGAAAGCCCCAGTCACTTGAGTGTGGTATCAAGCAAATTGTTTACCAAAGTAAAAGCGGACAGTCTCCGGACTGAAGGCTTACTGCTGGAACATCTTAATGACCCCCAGCACTTTAATGGACTCCAGCAATACCGGATCTCGAAGCTCCTGATGGAATATGTCCTCAAGACTGTTGCGCTTAAGGCGCGTGAGGAGAATGGTTCGGTCCCGGTGATCATCAACACTATCAGTCCTGGGTTCTGTGAGTCCTCTCTGGGACGGCAGTATGACCGATTCTACGAGCGATGGATGATGTGGTTAATATATAAGCTCTTTGCTCGCACTGCGGAACAGGGGAGCCGGTCTCTGGTCAGTGCAACTCATCAAGGACTCGAGTCACATGGGAAGTGCTGGAGAAATGATGGCTACGTGGAGTAAGCATCCGGCCAATCTTGGTCCATTTGTACTATGCTAATAGATAACAGTGAATCGGCTGCTTTGACCACGGGGGAGGAGGGCATCCAACTTCAAGCCAAAGCGTTTGAGGAAATCTTTCAAGTTCTTAGGCACTCGGCTCCAGAGGTCGAAGAATTGATCAAGAAATCGTAATGAAGGTGTCAATTTATGGCTATCTGCCTGCAAAATAAAGGATCCACCCAGATATCGGGCCAGCAAAAATTACATAGCACTGGTGGGCCGTTACCGTCACCAGGACTCGTAGGGCTGAACATCTTATAGTCCGAGGAGGGAAAACAACCCATGGTGGCTGGTTATTTGCTACTGGAATTACTTTGGAATCTCAGGACGAGCTTAGATTACATACTCTCAGAGGTCGTCTTCTGGATATCCAATGATAAATTCATCCCTTAAATCTGTCGTTTTGCTTATTATACCTTGGCATATTAACGGTCAAAGATTGCCCCACGGCTCCGCTTTCATCTTTGCTGTGCGAGTACGACGAAAGAGCTAAAAGATAGTCAAGTCGCACCTGAACTTCCTCCGAACTCCTGAATCGCCTTCCATCTATCTACTTCATCTTCCTCATTTATCCTCCCTATGAAATTGTGGATGGCTTGAATTCTTCCCCCGGCTTTTTAGATAGGAGCGCTCTCCTCCGTGTCACTCACTGTGCTGTCCGTTACGCCAGGCTACCATGGCTTACAACAAGTCCTACAACCCCGATGCGCTGCCAGCGTAAGTGTTTGTAATGATGAGGTGACTCTTGTGTCTGACTGACCGAGGAGAGCAGGCATGCTGAACCAGAACAAGTACGAACAAACTGCCGTCAGACAGATGTCCCACCCCGCGACTGACTGCCAGCAGGTCGCCCAGTTGATCGGCGCGATGCAAGTATCCTCACAGCCGCAGGCTCAGCGACCTCCTCGAACATCGTCTCATGCTCCACCCAGCGGCACCCCCCAGCGAGTCCCCGTCACGAATGCTCAGATCAACAAACCTCTACCTGCGACCGGGCCGCCTCCCGCAAGCCATAKCCATGCGCGTCCGCATCACCTCCACGCCTCGCCTCCACCCCAAAACTACGGCTTCGGGCCCCCTCCCTCGCAGCCCGTACGCAATCGCCCTTCCCCAGTCTCGCGTCCACCTCAATCCCCCCATCCGCCTCCTCTGTCCGCCCCGCACGATGACCCCCAGCAGCTCTTCCCACTCTTCCGCGCTGCCAATGCCTCGCACTCGGGCGCCCTGACGGAGATGGAGCTCGGATCCGCCCTTGTAAACGGCGACTATACCTCTTTCCATCCCAAGACCGTCAAGATGATGATCCGCATGTTCGACCGGAACAGCAGCGGGACCATCTCGTTCGACGAGTTCGTGGCGCTGTGGCGGTTTCTAGCTGCGTGGCGGGAGCTTTTTGACCGGTTTGACGAGGACCGCAGTGGGCGCATCAGTCTGCAGGAGTTTGAGAAAGCGCTGGTTGCGTTCGGGTATAGGCTCAGCCAGCCATTTGTCACGGTGCTCTTTACCACGTTTGAGAGCAAAAAACAACAAATAAATGGGGGGCATGCAATGGGGCCGGGCCAAGATGGCATGAGCTTTGACCTGTTTGTGCAGGCGTGTATCAGTCTCAGACGAATGACGGACGTGTTCAAGCGGTATGACGAGGATCGGGACGGGTATATCACACTGAGCTTTGAGGAGTTTTTGACTGGTAAGTGGCTCTTCGAGGCTACCTGGTCTAATTGATTGATTGATTGATTGATTGATTGACTGACTGAATGACGCGATGCCGTGTAGAGATCTTACAGTTACAGGACTAGAGAGGGATAGGTGGATTGTGCATTGTGCATTGTGTGTACATGATTATTCTGCATTTTGAATGTGTTCTTGACTTCCTGTACTTTTTATGCTTCTTTTTTCCCCCTACATACATTATACCCCTGAATAAATCATTGAAGCCATAACACAGCTCGTCACGATCTCGGTGGTTGTCTCATTGATGCTGTACTCCCGTGCCAAGGAATGCTTGATATTAGAGATTCCATATAAACCCAGAGGAAAATAAAAAAAGTAAAGAAAGTGAAGAGCTCGGAGAATAAATTATTCTATCAGATCCTCAGATCTTCATCTACTCTAAAGCCTTTTCCCTAGTTCCATTGCAAAATGCATCGCACGTCAATTGTTGACAGACATGTGAATCATATCATAATCTCCATGAAGTATGAATTATCCACATTCTTTTTGCCGACTGTTCTTCTCCCGCTGTTCGTATCGTCAAAAAGATCGCGTCTGTTCCGATATTCGAGTATGACTCAAAGATCTTCATGAAATACGAGCATGTCCTAGAGCATTACTGATAGACACGTTCTCGGCCTTCGCTTCGGACTCGGACTCGCATAAGTTTGTTAACGCCGGCAGTTGACTTCTTATAAGGGTTCAAGACTCGAGACTCCAGCACTTAAGACTGCGTGACTGTGATTTCTTCTTCCCCATCTTGATGAATCTCTAAACTGATCTTCCACTGAAGATATCCCCCTTGGTAGTTTTTCCTTGTGTTGATCGAGGATCAGATAAATCCTTCTCTTCGGTATTTTTTAAGCTGTCGGCATTACCCGAAACTTGGCTCGTATCAATATTTTCTTCCCCACTGCCAAGTTGAGGCGACTAGAGTACATAATCCGTCAGATTTCTTTCCTCGGCTCTTTCTTTCCTCGTTTTATTTCCCCTCAGATCATGTCAGTAAACGAGGAGAGAGATCATGACTACAACGACGATAACAAACACAGTTTAATGATGTCGGACAGAATCTCTCGCTCCGAGGAGGACAGCTCGGAAAAGTCCGCCACTGTGACGCCTCCGTCTATTGGGGATGATCAACTGCCTGTCAACAACTCAGATCATCCGTCCCATGAGAAACCAGCCGGGAAAGATGTTGAGAAAGATGGCGCGCCGTTGGACCGGACGCACTCTCAGGCGCAGAAGCTGGGGAAGAAGAAGATCCTGATTATCATGCCTGCGCTTTGTGTATGCATCCTCTATAGGTATTTGACTGCTGCCATAGAACTATGCTGACGATGTCTAGTTGGTGTTGTTTCTGGCCGCTTTGGATATGGTACGTAGCTCCCACTCTTATTGATTATTCACAGGAGTCCAGACTGACTGGTCTAGACGATCGTTTCAACGGCCCTTCCAACCATGGCTGCCCAGTTTCACGCCTCAGAAAGTGGTTATTCATGGATGGCTTCCTCGTACCTGCTCGCCAATGCGGCATGTATCACCCTCTGGGGCAAGATCAGTGACATCTGGGGCCGTAAGCCGATACTGCTTATCGCCAACGTTGTGTTCCTGGTCGGCAGTCTGATTTGCGCTCTTGCGGTCAGCATGACCATGATGCTGGTTGGACGGGCGATCCAGGGTGCAGGGGGTGGTGGTATCATTGTCTTGGTCAATATTTGTGTTACTGATTTGTTCAGCGTTAGGTAGGCTAAGCCTCTTTCTTTGCGTTGGACTACTCAGTGCTAACTCTTCAAGGGAACGGCCCATGTACTATGGTCTTTTCGGTGTGACGTGGGCCATCGCCGGTGCTCTAGGCCCCATTATCGGAGGCGCCTTTACGACTGCTGTGACCTGGCGGTGGTGTTTCTACCTAAACTGTATGTATCACTTTCGTTGACCTGTGTTAAGAATCAAGCTGATTTGCTCAGTACCCGTCGGTGGCGTCTCGTTGGCAATCCTCGTCTTCTTCCTCAAGCTCGAATCCGGCGGCACGCCGCTGTTTGAGGGCATCCGATCTATCGATTGGACCGGCACTGTCCTCATCATCGGAGGCACGCTCATGTTCCTCTTCGGGCTGGAGTTCGGCGGCGTCGACTACCCCTGGGCCTCGGCCACAGTCATCTGCCTGATCATCTTTGGCGTGGTGGTCTGGGTCCTAGCGATGCTCAACGAGTGGAAACTCGCCAAGTACCCTCTGATCCCTGTGCGACTCTTCAAAAACTGGCACAACCGTCTCGTCCTCATCGTCTGCTTCTGCCATGCCTTCGTCTTCATCGCTGGCTCATACTACCTCCCGCTCTACTTCCAAACCGTGCTGCAGGCCACCCCCATCCTCAGCGGCGTCTACGTCCTCCCCCTGGTTCTCAGCCTTTCCATCGTCTCCGCAGGCACAGGCATCATCATCAAAAAGACAGGCCGCTACCGCGAGCTGATCGTCGGCGGCCTGGGCCTCATGACCCTTGGCTTTGGCCTTCTCATTGACCTCAAATACTACGCCTCCTGGCCCCGCATCATCATCTACCAGATCATCGCCGGCGTAGGCGTCGGTCCGCTCTTCCAGGCACCCCTTGTCGCTTTCCAGGCCAACATCCACCGCTCCGACATGGCAACTGCCACCGCGACCTTCGCCTTCATCCGCCAGGCCTCCTCCGCCATCGCCGTCGTCCTGGGCACAGTCGTGTACCAGAACGTCCTCGCGCGCCAACTGCCCTCCATCGAGGCCGCCACAAGCCCCGAAACTGCAGCCACAATCGCCCACTCCTTCGCAGGCTCCACCGGCTCGCTCGTCAGCTCGCTCCCCGAGTCTGCGCGCGTCGTCGTCCTCCAGGCCTTCACGCACAGCCTCAGCAGACTGTGGATCTTCTACGCGGCTGTCGGTGGCTTCGGCTTCCTCGTCAGTCTTTTCATCCAGCCCGTCGAGCTGAGCAAGGCGCATACCTTTACCAAGACCGGCTTGGCGGAGCAGGAGCGCGCGCGGAAGGAGATTCTCGAGGAGCAGAAGGCTGCCGCCGCGGCCAGGCGGACGGATCCGTCGTCTGGTCTGTCGCCAAAGGCGGAGGTATAACCCGCCCTCTAGCTTTCTTCATCTTCCTCGAACGTCTATACTTAGATTTAATGTACATAGTCGGTAATTGGGATCATGCATGGGATGCTGTTTCGCGTTCCATGCACGGTCGTACATGGTACCTTTGCATTACACTCTCCAAAGGTCAGGCATATATAAAGCGTACCTTCATACATATTCAATTCCGGCCCTCAGTAGGGATGGATATGATTACTAGCTGTAAAGCTGGAGGTCAGAGCTACTCAAAAGAGATACATAAAAGGAGCCTCGCAGCTCAAACAATTCTGTTACCTAATTAGTACAAGCAAATACGAATCACATTCCCAAGTTCTTCCAGAAAACGCACTGGAGCCGTATCAACAGCAAGAGGACCAGAAAAAAAAAGGAAAGGGGTATAAGCTACCAACAAATCCAAACTGACAAATGGAAGGCGAAAGCAATATAAAGAAAGATGAGCCCGTGCAGCCATCGCGATATTCAAGAAAGTGAAGAAAAAAAGCCCCAACGCCCTAAAATGCCTTAGATGAAACAAGATTTTTAAGACAAATCAAATTTGCAAGCCCAGTCCCGATGAGCAATCACGTCTTGGATTTCTTTGCCGTTCCCTCAATGCTAGGGCCGCTGTCGGGACTTTTGCGCTTCTTCTCCTGTTCATCTTCGCGCGTGAACCCTGGACCGGTCTGAACCGCTGGAGTGGGAAAGGTCAGAGGACTAGGCAGCATGTTCGTATCGGGACCGGACCTGCCGAACCCCCACTCCGGGAAGAAACTCGACGGCGACGGAAGAAGAGCATCAGACACAAATCGACTGGGCAGAGCAGAGATCGGCGTCTCTATATTGTTATTGCTGTTGTACGCATTGCTGTTCTGGCTTGCAGTTCCCGGCGGCGGCGGTCGAGCGAAGGGATTTGGGGGCCCGGTGGCACCTGCGCTCAGGATTGCACCAGCAGATGGCGACGGTGGAGGGAGAACCACGCCGGAGTGATTGGTGTCGGGATTAGCCTTGGCTGGAGTCACCGTCTTGTTACAGGTGGACGACGACGAATCTGCTGCACTCCCCCGGTCAGAATTCTCGCTTGGTATTTGTACCTTGAGCTGTGGCCGCTTTGAGGGCAGTTGACCACTATTCGTCCGTGGCGGTGGCTTAATATCAGGAGCTGACTGAGACCGCGTCGAGTCGGTTGTCGTCTTAGGCGGTGGTGGAGGCGCCACAGATTGAGCGGGAGGCTTGATTTGTTTCGAGTCATTCTGTTTTGATTCTGCCTTAACGTCGGTACTCTCAGTGCGTGGAGACTCGCATGTAGGCGGGCCGAGTCCGAAGTGACGGGCCAGAACGGAGCCGCGGTCATCGATCGGCGTGAAGATACTGCGCGATTTCGAGGACAACGATCGCTGGTGTGGAGGAGAGGGGCTTGTTTCCACCTTCAAAGGACCAACCATCTGATCTGCCGAGGAAGCATCGGGCAGGGACACCGGTCGAGGTGGTTGCGGCTGTTCTGTCGGAAACGCCGGTGGCATCGAGTTTCTCCCTTGTTCGGGCAAGAAAGGCTGCGCAACCTGTGGTATTGACGCATGAGGCGCTTGCGAGAGTCCCATCGCAGGTGTCTGCTGAGCAAGCGGATGCGGATGCTGGGGAAGATGCTGCGGGGCTTGATGGTGCGGCGGGACTGGTTGAGGCATGGTATGTGGAGGCATGGCGTGTGGCGGCAGCGGCTGTTGCGGTCCATAGTGTGCGAATTGGGGTGGCCGCGGTTGTTGGGCCATGTTGGGGTTGGCATTGGGATGATACATCGAGGGATTGGGAATGTATGCGAATCCATTCTGTGGAGGAGGCGGTGGAGTTCCATGATGTTGCTGCGGGCCCAGATTCGAACTCACGCGTCGAAGATGGTTTCTTGACGAAGGTCTCGAAGCGCCTTGAGGTTGCGGAGTGCCATGTCGCGGGTCAAAGGGTATTCCATTCGAAATGGGCGGGGACGCCGACGGTGCATGATTGATGTGTTGAAAACCGGGATGACTGGGGATGTGAGCGGGGACAACAGAAGGTGGGTTCTGGGTTGTAGGTTGCATCTCATCCGGAGCAGGAGTGGTCTCATCCTCGTCATCGTCATCGTCTCGTTTTCCATTGAAGTCCTCGGGGCCTTTATGTTCGTGCGGCGGGCCGTACTGATATTCATGTCAACATACTCGAAATAATGCAGATAATGAGATGTAACGCACATATTGGTATCGACCCAAAGTCTCTCGCATATCACATGATGAGAATTCGTAGAGCTTCTTGTTGTGACCAAAAATGATGACCGCGACATCTACCGAACATAATACTGCGAGTTCATGCGCTTTCTTGAAGAGACCACCCTTTCGTTTCAAAAAGGTACTAGAAGCAGTTGACGATGTGAGTCAGTGTCGCATTCAAGACCCGTATTGGGTGATGGATGCAGGATGACTTACACTGATCGGTTGCGATCATCCTTGATCGCCTTGATCTCGATCTTTCTTCGACCCATGGAGGATGCTTATGTGAGAAGCAGTAAACAAGGAAGTCCACGCGTCAGGCAGTTACAGAGGATTGCTGAAACACACGACAGGACAGCCAGAAGGCGATGTGGAGATGAGGTTGTCCGTAATAGATGGCGCGGCGCGAGCTGAAACTCAAGAAGCGCCGCCGCCTGACCAGCTGCTTTTGCTCTCCTATTTTCTTATTCCTACTTATCGTAGAATACTATCGTTTGCAGACGGCCTTATCCACATCAGATGGGATGAAATGGCGAAAAAAAACGAACGGAAAGGATCAGGGAGGTTAAAGAGCGCTAGAGAGGATATGATGGGTGATGCCCTTACGGAGGGATGAACCCGCGGGCGCGAAGACAATCAGGGTGTTTGACCCGTCGGGAAGAACACACAACAATCCGGTGACAGAAGGATAAGGAGCCTCCGGACTCCTCAGGTCGCCGAGTAAGAAGAAAGTTAATTCAGAGGATGAATAAAAAATGGTAAGATGAATGGATGCGAAGCCTCGATGAAGATAGGATGGAACAAGAAGAGTCGATGGACGGCGACACGCGGGTGATGCAGAAGATTCTAAAGATAGAATAGAATTGATGGAAGGGAAAAAAGTGGGATGGTGACTTTTATGGCATCGCAGCCAGTTCTCCATATGTGGCTTGTGCTGGCACCTGATTCGTCAGTCGTTCGCTATAGACAGCCGCCGTTGCCGAGCCTTAGGCGCCGACTATTTTTAGCCAGTCCGAGTTGATATCCCTATAAATTGTGCTTTCGCACGAATCGCTACCGACACAGTGGTTACAAGACCTTGAAGCTCGCTGAGATATCATCACAGTGGATACTACACATAACATCATCAGCATCATTGAGTACTCTGGTCAGGCTGGGCAGCCACACGGAGCCTGGACCTGCACAGCCACATCCGGACGAGAGCTTGAAGCCTCGAGAATCTGATATGGTCAGCGCCGTGCCAGGCTTCATGGATTCAATTTTGATTGGTTCTTTGAGCTGATTATTGATGCTTTCGTGAATCATTGGCGGTGGTTGATGGGCTATTATAGGTCGACTGTGTCTGCTTACCATGGGTCACAGATTACGGCTCTAAAGCAGTCTAGGGACCTCTTTAGTTAACATTATATATGTTACACAGCATGGGTGTTGTCAGGATGAGTTAAACAGCTTTTAGCGCACCGATAAACGATCCGAACTAGATGCCATACATCCTGCGCAATTGTCAACGACTGGATATTATTCTATCATGGAAACACCTTTGAGCGTCCCCCGGATGAATAAATATAAGATCCTTGGAAGTTCCCCGCGGCCTGTCCGCGTCCTCCCAAGCGTTCGACATCTGCAACGGTTAGTGACTATCGGGTCAAAGTTGTAAATCAACAACTCACGCGGTGCGCAAATTTTTTGCAAGTCTTGCCAGAAATTGATCGTACTGAGCTGCAAGCTAGTCATTTGACATGCAGACGTACAGACGTACAGATTAGATTCCATGTTAGTCTGCTATGCTTGTTTATGCGCGCCGTGGTCGACCAGCCTTGATCATGGGCAACGAGTGTTGGGCATATCACAGCCAGACCAGGCATAATTTGCATTGCATAGCTGCCAGATGCGCTTATACCCTTCTGATTGGTGAGTCGTCACAATGAGTTGCGGAAACTGGGTACGGATGATGAGAATTATACTTCCAACAATTCCTTATCTAGCAAGCGGCTACGTCCTTCATGGAAGCCTTATGCTGGTGGTGAAGGCGGGTTGAAATGTCGGTTACCTGTTTGTAAAATATAGTCAAATACGGGTGAGAGGTGAGAGGTAATGTTGACTGTATTCTGACGACTTCTAGGAGCCTTTAGAAGATCAACCAGACTCATACCACCTTCTTTCTATAAGGCAAGCTCATTCGGTACTTCGTATTTCCTTATTGTGGCAGACTCACCGCTCATTGTCCATGGATGAACAACAGCAACAAGCAAGCAAGCTAGGAGCCTGAGAGTGAGAGGTATAAGTCTGAGGACCTCTAGATCCATCCAATATTCAGTCCTCTAGAAATCCAACTTAAGTTACCTGAGTCACATTGGACTGTGCAAACCCAATACCATCTTTGTATCAGCTTCAAACTGGATGATACTGACCTTGCCCAATCAGGTATAGCGGATTTCATAGTTGATTTATAGTTATGGGGATCAAGTCTGGACTTATCTAGGTACCTCTATAGAGTAGTCTAGATATATTCAAACAGAATGCTCCCAGCATCCATAGGACAATATGACAGACTCAATCAATAAAGACATGCCCAATTGATAGTCTGAAATCCTATTTGTAAAAGCCAATTGCTCATTCTTTGATGCTTTATTATTGTTTGCTCGATGGGCATCAACTATGGCTGAATCGTCTCCCCGCTACCTAGTCAGGGCCACTGAACCATGGCATGGCGCCTTTTTGGGCGTAAGTAATAGAATTTCAACCCCTGAAACGAGTAACACAGTGTAGGTACGGCAGATCCTCATTATCACCAACTCTTTATTCCACTTCCTAGCTTTTTACCTTCATCGGTCCTCCGTTCTTCTCATTTCTCCTGTGTTTTGGGTCTTTTTTCTCATTCCCCATGGTCTCTCCTTTCTGCTTTGTCTGACTCTTTCCGCTTGTTCCACCCACGATCTTCATGTGGATGTCCACTCTCATTATATCAGATCCAATCAATCCACTTTCATACATACATCACATAGTGTTCGCTGCACGCTAGGGTAGACGTGCTGCCCCATTCTGGGCTGCAGTTGTGCCAGTTGATCCCTTGGACACCTAGACGTCGACCTAGTTGTCTGTCTGCTGTCTGGCATCTTGCTTTGGGGATTGCTAGACTTCAATTATTGACTGCCTTATAACTGTTGCTTCTTCTTCTTTTCCCCCGCCTGGCCCTGCTTGATCCCTTGGTGATCTCCTTTCTCCTTTTTACTCTCTCTAGTCTTTTTTTGTTTTATTTTTATTTTTTTTCCCTTCCCCTGCTCCATCCCGCCAGTTTGATCCTTGCATTTTCGCACGGTGCATTACGAAAATCGCAGAAACTGGTCTTTCAATCCCTTGATCTGTTTGCTATCTATATCCATCGGCTTGATCCGCATTTCGGGACGCGACTTCCCTAGTCCGCCCCTGAGCACATTTTCCTGATTAGCCAAGCAACATAGCAGCGGTTTTTTAAATCCAGTGGAGACGACATCCGTGGAGGAAAGATGCCCTTTTTCACTCGTGTCTTTCGGAGTAAGGACTCCAATGCTGCAAAGAAATCGACCAAGACCCCGGTTGTCGAAAACACGGGTCCGGCAAAGCCCACATGGACCGACGCGTGGCAGCGAACCGAAGTCGCTCCTGAAGAAGTTCAGGATCTCCTCCGTGGATGCACTCAAGAATTGAAGGCTCGAGGTACGTTTGATTGCTTGCTATCACGGATTTCCAGTATCGGACTGTCAATCGCTGGCGCCCACAACTCCACTGTCAAATCTGAGACATCCACATTCTTCAGATCGCTGATCCTTGCTTCGTTTTGTCCCATTTGACAGCTCTCCAAACTCCGTTTCTACTATTACCGTTTCGACCGACTACCGAGTTCTCCGATGCACGTTATTTCATCCGTAACTACTTTAATAAGTCTGTTGAGAAGGGCTCGCCTTGGAGTGGAGATGCATTGTCGCAAGAGCTACGACTTACAGACCCGACGGTGAGCCCATAGCAACAAATCGCCCACACGTCGGAACATAACATGGCTGACCGGTTGTCTTCTCGATGGACAATAATAGGTCCTCTGCAGTGTCTTGAAATGGTGCTGGAGCAGACTCCCTGGAGGAGTTGTCACCTGGGACGCGTATGAACTTTTCAAAGTTGGCGAACAAGGTATGGGCTTACACTACATAACGGCCGGCGGCAGGTTGCATAAGGCTGATCGAATCGCAGATTCTCAACTCGCCCGCGACGCGTTCTCAACATTCATCCCAATCAGTGTCGACTCGGATGCTCGAACCAAGATCATTTTCGACTTTTTCGACCTGCTAGCTGCCATTGCAGCACACGGCAAGTCCAACGGTCTCGGCGGCCGGAAGCTCTCGAGGTACGCTGGGTGGTGGGCTTTTGAGCATTCGGATACGGGCAATGGCTTTGAAGCTGCCTACAAAAACTGGGCCGCGTATGTTTCTTTCAAACGGATCTATCTGAAACTGAATTAGAAGCGACTGACCATTTGTTTCAGCGCTGCTGATGCCACGAGCCATTTGTTCTTCGCCTATCTCCGCTCGATTTCTCCCGACTCTCCCCGTGGTATAAGCGGCATTTCGACCTTGCCCATCGCTCTCCAATCCCTGGTCCAAGCAACGGAGTACCCGCCTGAAACGCCGACCCTTCTGCAGGTATCGACTACAAAGGTCGTCATGATCGTTGATACCGTCTCACCGACTCCTTTCGCCCTCTTGCGACGTGCGAAGAACTTCGAATACCGGGACAGTGACCGGCATCTGCAGGAATTCGCCAGCTTTGACGACCCTGTCAAGGCCCTTACCGACGAGTGCTTGCGTGTCTTAAAATGCATCTCGTCAACGAATCAATCCAGTACCTCCGACCCGACGGCATCGGCGCAAGAAGCGTCCTGGTCGCGGTTTGAGGATCAGGGATTTGGCGCCGCTGACTTGGACAACGATGCGGACGCAACTTCGTTAGCAAGAAACGAGTTTGGGGGCGGTCTTCGGTCCGCTCCTCATTCCGTCGCGGGGGATCTTGGCCGTCCTACAACTCCATCTTGGGCAGATTTCATGTCCTCCGGCTTCAATGACGGCAACGGTTTCAAGCCTCAAGTTGCTCCTTTGCTCCTTCCGCCTGACAAGGTCCTGCCTCCAATTGCTACTGTGCGAGGCCAAAGCTCTCAGTCTCACAAGCGTACCCTGGACTCAGAGCTTCCCGTCGAACCCGCCGAGCTTGCCAGCATCACCACGCTGGATCTGGACGACTCTTTCTGGTGGGTCTGGATCAGCAGTTTGGCCGTAGAGGAACCTGCTGCGAGGAAGGCGGTCTTTGGTAGGTGCGCATTGGTCGAAACGATCATTAAGGACACCAAGTGGTTAGTTCTTGAGGAGCAGGTTAAAGGTGCTGCGCCGGAGCCTGAGCCAGGTGCGTACATTGTTGAGAAAAAGAGGTTTTTTACCTTCGCATCTCGCAAGGGAAAGATCAGTCGGCGCAAATCGTCGGCCAAGAAAGTGAATGCCGTTGAAGAGTCTTATAAGCGCGCCAACAATCTCGCTCCTCAGAGTAAGACCAGCATTGCACCTGATCAGCATGCTCGCATTCAGGCTGCTGCTGCGGCTTTGCAGAGGAAACATCGGGAGCAGGAGCAGGAGGCCGCCAACAGATCGAAGGCTAGCGTGCCAAACGACTCGCGGTACTCGAAGGCAAACTCCATTATGTCTTTGCAACCGGGAATCATGAGCGAAGCTTCGCAAGCGATGAAATGGGCCAGCAATTATGACAAGAATGCCTATCGCGCCGCGTATCTCAAGGACAGCCGGGCCGGGACAGGTACGCTGGCCGAGGAAAAGGGGGCGACCGTGAACGAGAAGGTGCCAGAGCCGCCGGCTTCTCCGGCACCTAGCTCGTCAACCCGCCAGGCGCCACCTCCATTGCCCAAGGACAGCGTGCCAAGCTCTCCTGCAGCGACTGAGCGTCAGCTAAGAGGCAGTGTGGATGAAAACGCCGCCAGCAGACAGGGGAGCACCAGCGCCGCTGCGGAATCTTTGCCCAAGCAGTCTACTGACTCGACAGATGATTCCAGAGCCAGACTGAAGAAGAGGCCCGGTAACACGGGCTTCAAGGGTATATTCGGAACCAAGAAGAAGGACGATTTGGAATCGAAACCGCCAATGAAACCTACCGGGGCTCAGCCGTCGGCTGTTGCTGCTGCTCGTGCGGCTTTGGAAGGCAAGGCAAAGGAATCCCAGGAGACAGTTCGCCCCAATGGCGCCTCGGCTATGAGCTTGAGGAAGAAACCCGTTCCAGCTCCGGCGGCAGCCCCTCCCGCCGCTCCAGCCGAGGTCGCAAAAGCCCCGGCAGACGTGAAGGAACCAGTCCCCGGGCCGCAGACTGTCACTGCCAACGAACAGCTTGATGGCCCTCCCAAGACCCGTCGTGAAGCTGAGTACGATGCACTTTCCCGCGTAGACACCAATGAGCGAACGGCAGCCGATCGTGAATTCTCTCGATTTGACCAGGGCCCCTTGGCGGAACAGCCAGCATTCGTTCCTGAAGATTCTCCTGTCTCTGAGACGTTCCCTGACAAGGCCGCGCCTGCTGCGGCTGTTGACGATACGCCCGTCAGGACCGAAGTTTCCGAACGGCCAACAAGCCCTACACCAGCCCCGGCTAGTACATCTTATGATCGCTGGGCACAGATTCGCAAAAATGCCGCTGAAAGGGCCGCTAAGCTTGAGCAGTCCGGTTCCTACCGACTTAGCCAAGAGGATGGTAACACAAGCGAAGAAGAGAGTAAGTGGAGGAGGTACGCTTAAACTGGCAATAACGATGCTAACTCTGATCAGGCTTCGAGACTCGTGCTGCTCGTATCAAGGCGAGAGTGGCCGAATTGACTGGAAATATGCAGGCCGCAAGCTGAAAGACGTTTAATTTCGGCTTGGCCTTTCCCATTCAGGACCATCTTACTTCCATAAGTCTCCTTTGTTGCTTTACTTTTTCCTCATGGTCTGGCCCAGTGCCCGGCTACCTTCCATCGGTAGATTTTATACGCCCAGATGTCTTTGATACTCCTTCCATGGCCAGGTCTCATATTTGACAGCGAAAGGACAACAAAATCACGCCATTATGCCGCTTGCTTCCCGCCAGTTTGTACTCGACATTGTTGTAATATTCTGGTCGATTCCTCTATCTTCTTTCGATGACCAGACGTGATCTAATTTTCTATATCCTGTCGCTTCAACTCGTGATTTCACTTGATTCCCCTCTTGTTGTATGTTTTCTGCGTGTTCTTGTTCCATATACCTTGGCAGACTTTGCGAATTCAAACAATTCTGCTTTTCGTCTCTTGACGCGCCCCTTCTGACGCTCAGCCCAATGTGACTCTGAAATATGGTATACTCGGATCAACGAGGTCAATCGCACCCCAACACCCTCAGAATCTCCCTAGCCACCCCAGCCGCACTGGCTGGATTCTGCCCCGTAATCAGCGGCGAGTGTAACCCGGCCGTCCTAGATACAACCACCTTCTCCGTCCCTGATCGGTCTGCCTTGACATATCCACCCCCAGATACCCGCTCCAGCTCCGTCTCCAACTGAAACGGCATAACAGCCGCCATTCCCGCTTCATCCTCCTCCTCCCTCGAGAACCCCGTCACCCGTGCTCCAGAAAGCAAAGGTACGCCCGACGGCGCCGTCGCATTCAGCAGCGCCGCAGGCCCATGGCTCACCGCCGCGATGGGCTTCCCCGCCGCCGCCATATTCTGTATCAGGGCAAGCGAGGCCGCGTCCCTTACAAGGTCAAACATCGCTACACCGTCAACGTCAACATCATGTAATGTGAACCTCAGGTGAAGATCGTAGACATAGACATAGACGTACCCCCGCGCCCACCTACATAGAACACCGCATCGAACTCCCCCGCTCCTGCACGGGCAACCGTCTCCCTGATCCTGTATGTGTGCGTCCAGGCCTCCCAGTGCTGCGCTATAGAGGATATGTCCGTTGCATCGGCTTCGTCGGAGGCGGGTTCTGGTTTCGTGGAGGCTGAGGTTGAGGCTGGGTCGAGGGGTGCCTCGCCGCCTTGGGGGGAGGCGATGGTGATGTTGACTTTGGGTTTGAGGATGGAGTATGGATGGGCGAGTTCGGACTGGGCGTTTTCCCATTGTTTCATTGTGAGTGGTTAAATATCTGGGGGCAGTGAGGTGGACGTAACGTACCAGGTGCCAGCCTGTTTGTTGGCGGTTGGCGGGGATTAAGCCCTGCGAGGTGAGGATTATGAGGACGTGGGGCATTTTCAAGCCTGTTCGATTGATGATATGGTTTGTGGTCGGAGAGTATGGTGTCTGTTCGGGAGAAGCATGCTGACTGACTGACTTGAATGGACTATATCAGTATATCGTCATCTCCTACGTCAGTCAGTTGCTACTGAGTCTGGAGACAGGGTAAAAACCTATGTTCACGATTATGTATTATCATTAGTTCACTATATACCAATCATTGGCATGGGTGGTTGCCATCAGATCTAAGAAAGGATATATCCAGAATGTATATACAGTCGGGCGATCTGGGTATCAACGGGACATGAAACAAGGGTAATCAAACGGAGCAATACAAGGAATTGAGCAGGAAACGAGACGTCGCTGATCGTACATCGTCAGGGGAATATATTGTGATGCAGTTGAGCACTCACTGCCGTCAGCGAGCATAACGTAATCGTCGAGTGGCTTCAGCGGCTACAAGTGCACACAAGGCACCCACGAACAGGCAGATGGATATAGCATTAGGACCCTCTTTATCTCGGCGTATCCATTGCGAGTCCTGCGCAGAGTCGTCCCGTTTCGTACTGCCGGGTTCGAGGAGGCTGAAGACTATCCAACTGATGAATGTGCCGACAAATTGCGGTAGCGTAGTGTACACATTCAACACGCCGAGGTAGATACCTGCCAGTTCGCCAGTGGAAGGAATATTTGCGTCGTCCTCCGAATCGCTGTCGCTATCCGTATCATGATGATTGAGTCGCAGGACGTCCATCTCCGTGTCCGTATCATAATTGCCGGAGCGGATAGTGGAAGACGTAATCATGGTCACGCCAGAAGAGCGCGCTGCGGCTGCAGGTCCCATTGCCAGCTTATTGATTTCCACTCCCATGAATGCAAAAGGCGCCCAACTGCTGACCGCCCACGGAATACCACACGCGGCCACGAGGAACGTTGCAAATGCCCGAGACCGGGCCAGAGGTGCAAAGATCATGGTCGCAGCAAACATCACATGAGATATCAGCCATGTTGTGTGCAGGTCTGGTCGTATCGCAGTGATCTTCTTAAGAAGTGCAGCTATACCAGGTGGCGGGCGCGGTGTGAATCTGGACCGTTTGCTGTCCGGAGGTTGCACACAGAATGGTAGAAGCACAGAGCTGATGAAAGTGATGGAAGAGAAAACGACCAGAGACAGACTGCCGACGCGTCCAATTTCGCCGAGAAAGTCGCTTGACTGTGGAGCGTCTTTGGGGACTTCGTATCGGAAGTAGGTCTCACCGACCCACGTCGTACTGTAGAAAAGGAAGGGAAACCAGCCTAAAGCGAGTCAGCGACACCTTCCAAATCTTCTCGAAAGAAGTTGTACCAATCCAGGCCCAGAACTGCGCCCAACAAATTGCCTGAATGCGAGGAGGTAGGTCAATTGTCGTCTTGAAAAGCTGAGAAATGACTTGAACAGCTCCCGCTTTTCCATCGGAATCCCTGCAGAATCAAAAATCAGCACTAATATAGACAAACCGATTCCGATTATCATCACCTGGCAGTAATTAGGATCCTCTCATTCACCGAATAACAGGTGACGGAAACAGCCCCAATCAGCGAGAGTGCAGCAATGACGGTCATCTGTTTAAATTGCGTATCACCGATAATGGCGCCGAAGAGGCTGACCGTATCGATTGAGCCAATGGCATAGCTAATCAGCTGACCAATTGCGGACATTCTTGTAGCTGAACGTCGTTAGCTTTTGGCCTCGTGGACAAAGGTGGGATCATACCCCATGCTGAGCCAGCTTGTTGCAATGGAATCGGCAATGTGTCAACGATCAAGCTACGACAACAAGCCTGGACTGAAGGATGTCAGTTGTGTTCAGGCGAGTGCGTCAACATACTCACCGATGTTGATCGCAAAGTCAACCGCATAGATACTTAGGACGGCAAGGGCTATGGTGACATTTTTTGCCTGGTAAAAGTGAGCGGGGGAGTCGCAACAGATACCCAAGCCTGGCCCAAGTAAAATAGACACACCTTCTCAGCATCTTTCACGAATAGGCTGACAATTTCCGACGTCCACCCGAGCACCAGTAAACACAATGCGACAATAGACGAGCCAACGACCATAAACGGCCTGCGCCTTCCCCATTTCGAGCGTGAACGATCTGCGATGACACCAATCAAAGGCTGAATGATCAACCCAGACAAGGGGCCAGCGATCCACACAAGTGAAGTCCGTGACTTTGTAAGACCCAGCTGGAGCAGGTACGGTGTGCAATCTATTTCGAGCTCGGAATGGTCAAATCGCAAGACACAGTGACAACGGTGGAAGAAAAGGCTTACAGGTCATTTCAATGCCCCATGTAAATCTACAACAGGAGAATAATCAGTAATCCGGTTGATGAGCGAGGTCAAAGCACATTGGCAGCGGTGGACGAAAGTACATACTGCAACCCCAACAAGCTGAATGTCAACAGTGCCATTCGCACCGACTCCGATTTTCCCTTGATGGAGGGAGAACCCACCCATCTTGCAGCCTGTGGCATCCTTACAACGCCTGCATCCACCTGAAGGAATCCAACGGTATCCTCAATTTGCCATGCACCGGAGTGATATTTGTAGTCTCCTGCTCTTGCTCAACCCCAGTCGCAACAACCTGGTCGCACTCAACCCGCAATAGCCAATAAACTAACAATCCTCGTACGTAGGTAGATCTCTAGGAGTGGAGTGCCACGAATAGCGAAACAATTGTTAATCGTTGGTCGAATATGTAGTAAGCTCTTTGCGGCTCGATAAAGTGACCGGAGTTGGAATTGTCGATTACTAGCTTGGTAGGGGTCCCGATTTGGTCAATGGAACGCGAGAGGCCGATCTCTTCCACGATTCACTTCAGAGTAGGATAGGAAGGAATTGATGCAGAAATAAAGAAAGGAGAGAAAGGAGAGAAAGGAGAGAAAGCAGGGGAAATAGGAAGAAGATCCTGAAGGATGGAGGTGAGGCCGAACGCCCAGGATGCCCAGTGCTCAACTGCCAGAAAAGTGCAAATCAACGCATGCGGGCCCCGGGACGTCCATGCACTGCGGTCAGGTCTAATCCGCATCGGTTGGGTTCTTAATTTCCTGGACCCACCAGCCATGAGGTAGTTGTTATTAATAGTCAGAGAGAGAATAATGACCGTTCTCTAGAATTCAGTTTATCTAGAGTTGGCTTGACAATCCCACCTACCTGGGCGAGGCATGTGACAAGGGACGATCTACAAATTCCCCAGATATGTGCAACACCCCCCCTTATTCCGGCATAAGACACCAACATGTGTTGAAATAAGGGATTGACTCGAAGATTCTACCTTACAGCTTACATTACCGACAAAGCCGAGAATGGCCTATCCTTTTGGCTATATGATTACTCTCATTCTTGACAAAGGCTTAAATGAATGGTAGGCCACGTATCGAGGCGCGACCTCGAGGCTGTTATATGTACCTAAGGCAGCATATAGCAGCGAGTGGAGCAAGAGCACCGTGAGTGCATTCCTCTTGACGCTCATCAGGCTAAAGACAACATCCTTTCAACCAGGCCATACGGCTTGCATGTTACATGCCCACATCCGTTATACCCGGCCGTTCTGGCCTGATCTTGTTCATAAGCTTCTTCATTTCTAATAACATATCAAAGCATATCCGGCTGATCAAGACTAAAGAAAAACCTGCCATAACGACCCAGACATCATGAAATCAACAGAAATTCGTACATTAATGCTTTTCTTATTTCATAGTCATGCAATATCCCATCCCTCTACAAACGGTTGGGGGTAGTGCTGGTCATGGGCCACTGGTAACCAGCAGCATCACTGAATTTGTAGCCGAACGAAGCAGTGAAGTCATCAAGAACAGCGGGTCCTCGGGAGCCTTTGACAGGATTAGTAATGATATCAATCAGAAGAATATATTATAGTACATACCATAAGGGTATTCCATGGGGATGATCTCCTTGTTGTCGTCAAGGTAGTGCAGGAGAGGCGTGAAAATCTTCCAGCTTGCGTCGAGTTCATCGTCACGCACAAAGTTAGAGTGGTCACCCTTCAGAGCGTCCAGGATGAGCGATTCGTAGGCTTCGGGAATCTTCAAATCAGAGAAACGGCGGCGATAGGTGAGATCCAACTCAGTCATGACGGTCTGCATGGACAAGCCAGGCAGCTTGGAGTTCATCTTGATGTACACCGACTCGTTGGGCTGCACTCGGATAACCAACTCGTTACGAGGGATATCCTTGAAAATACCAGATGTAACATCGCGGAATTGAATACGGATCTCGGTCTTCTGCTCATTCAGGGCTGTGTGAAAGGTGAGAATGCGCGCGAATCTAGTGGTCTGAAAAGTAAACTATGCTTACCCTTTCCAGCCTTCAAAATGAAGGGAACACCATCCCACCTCTCATTCTTGATGTATGCAACCATGGCGCAGAATGTCGGGCACCGAGAATCCTTAGGGACAGTGTCGTCCTCCTTGTATGCTGGCTTGCTTCCATCCAGAGACTTCCCATATTGGCCGATGATGACGTTCTTGGGTTCGATGGGATCCATGGCACGCAATACACGAACCTGGGTTGAATTAGTTTCGCTCGTCGCCTCTGGTCAAATAGTTGAGTGGCCTACCTTCTCGTCACGGATATCTTCAGAGGAGAAGGAGATGGGACGTTCCATGGCGAGCAATGTCAGGACCTGCAGCAAGTCTGAAGAGACGAACATCAGCATCGCTCATTCACGCAAGCAGATGGCAAAAACATACGGTTTTGCATGACATCACGGATAATACCGAATTCATCGAAATAACCACCACGACCCTCTGTACCAAAAGGCTCCTTAAATGTGATCTGCGGCAGGAGCGAACCTGTCAGCAAATTGCTCTCAATTCGGGTATTCGGAGTAT